TTTGCCTTTTCTTGACATTTTGTGTAAACGAAATCATACCATGTGGTCTGTTATGTCTGATTTCTTTCATTTAGCATAATGTTTTCCAGCTTCATTCCTTTTATCATCTATCAATCCTTCATTTTTTAATTGCTGAATAATACCCCATTGTATGGATATACCACATTTTTAAAAAGAGGTTCAAACAGCACAAGATTTTATTTATTTATTTATTTTATGCCAGAGAGTGCAAACACATGCACAAGAGAGGGGAAAAAAAACCTGAAAGGGGGTCTGATCATGCCGCAATCCTTTCTCCTTCAATTCTCCATCCTGTCAGGAGTCTGGCCATGCACACACATGCCCAGCAGCTTAGGGTAGGACTAAGCCAAATCCCTCCCCTGGTGGGATCTGGTTTCCTCCGTTACATTGCAGGGCCAATCCTACCACATTTTACTTATCCATTCACTGGTTGATGTACATGTGGATTGTTTCCAATAATAATCCGTTGGGATTATTATGAATAAAACTGCTATGAACATATGTGTGCGTGTCTTTTTGTTGAATAATGTTTTCACATCTCTTGGGTAGAAGTGCTAGGTTATATGGTAGATTTAGGTTTAACTTTTTAATCAAACTGCCAAACTGATTTCCAAAGAGATGCAATATTTTACATTTTTATTAGCAGGATATGAGAATTCCAGTTTTCCACATCCCCCCCAACATTTATTATCCATCATTTTATTTTATTGCTATAAGGAGTGTGCACTCATCAGAGAGAAAGGAGGAGGGCAGAGAAAGCACCTCCCAATGGGCGTGGCATGTCATCATCTTTTTCTTTCATTTCTCCATTCTGAGTTATGGCATCACTTTGTGCCCCATAACTGTATACAACTATAACTTGTCAGCTAACAATAAAATTGTAAATAAAGCAGCCAGCAGATGGCGCAGTGGTTACATTGCTGGACTCCCACACAGTCAAGCGTGGTTCGAGTCCCAGAGCCAGTGGCTTAAAAATCACGCTGGACACACATACATGAGTACCCAAGATCTCAGGAGGAAAATTGAAGAGAAGGGACTGGGGAGTGGCCATTCCTCCTAGGGGGTAATCTTTTGCTTTTCCTCTCACAGTCTCTCTCCAGCAAGCACACATGCCCTATGGCAAAAACCTCTAAAAAAGAAAAAATTTAGTAGCCATTCTAATAGGTATGTGACAGTAACTCAAGGTGGTTTGTTTTTGTTTTGTTTTGTTTTCTGTAGAGGTTCTTGCCTTAGGGCACACTTGCTGGAGAGAGAGACAGACAGTGAGAGGGAAAGTGAGAAATCTCTCCCCAGTGGGGATGGCCATGCCACAACCTCTTCTTCTCCATTCTCCTGGGATCTTGGGCACACACTCACATGTTCCCAGTGTGATTTCCAAGCCGCCGATCTGGGCTTGAAATGCGGTCAGCCATGTGGGAGTCCAGTGACAGAACTGCTAGGCCATCTGTTGGCCCCTCATGTTGTTTTTGATTTGCATTTCTGTCATGACATTGAGCATGATTTCAAAATATTGGAAACTATAAAAATAACATCTGTGAGCCAGCTGGTGGTGTGGTAGTTGGGGTGGTTAGATCACAGATGACTGACTACACAGTTTGCGTCCCAGACTTAAAAAACACACTGGACACATGTCTGGGTGCAGTGCGCTGTCGCAAAATTCCCAAAAGACTACAAGGAGCCGATTCCGATGTAAATGCACAAGGATTGCTTTTATTTGGGTTTGAGCCAGGGCCCTCAACCATCACTGACACAGCGGATCAGAGTTGTGAGCCCTGGTGTTAGTTGGGCTGGGTTTTTATTTGGCTGTTACTGGGGAGGGAGGTCGAGGGGTGCTGAGGGATACAGGTAGCTATCCATTGGCTGTAGATTTCAAGAAGCATAGTTGTCTTTTACTGATTAGTCTTCAGACTGTTAAGTTGGGCAAGAATAGTTACTTTCGGTCTCTGGTATTTCTTTTGTTCTTCTCGTTATGACCCTCTCCTATGTGATCAGCTCGCCTCCTTGAGATAGCGCCGATTCTCAGCAAGGTGTGTTTAACAAAATGGAGTCGCCCCCACCCACCCCCGCCAAAAAATGGAGTCACTCTGGTCCTTCATGGGCATGCCCCAAATTTTGAGGAGAATGGAGAAGAGATTGCAGTGTGGCCATCATCCCTGGGAGAGTGATTTCTTACTTTCTGTCTCTATCTCTGTTTCTCTCTGGTGAATGCAAACACTCTATAGCAAACAAACAAACAAAATAATAAAGTAAAACAAAATTAAAAAACAAAATCTGCTTGTAATGATTACTATCTAATAATGTAATAGAATGTTAAAATAATTCTGTATTCTTGATTCGACCAGCAACCTATGTCTAAGGGAGCTAAAACTATTTTTATCATTTTATTAGCATTCATCTCCATGATCACCATCAAAAAATACTTGTTTATGCGTTGACCTTTCAGCAGCATCTCTACAAGATGAGTCATGCAGAATGATTCATGCTCTGCAGGAAAGTGGAAAATTCTCCCTCTGATTTTCTAGCTCAGATATATCATCTTCCTGTCACAAAAGAAATGACAGAAATAAGTTTATCAAGCAAAGAAACAAATGAACAAATAAACCTTTGTGAATTCATTGTTCAGGGTCAACAAAAGAGAAAGGAAGAGGCCGGCAGGTGGCGTGGTAGTTAAGGGCGCTGGACTCCAACGTGGCCGATCGTGGTTTGGGTCCTGGACCTGGCGGCTTGCTTTCCCACTTTCTCTCTTTCTCTCTCTCTCTCTTTGTGCCTCTCTGGTCAAATTGAAATAAATAAATAGGTGGATAAATAAAGTTAAAATAAAATTATTATTTAAAAAAAGAGAAAGAAAAAAAAGAGAAATCTTAGTAAAGTCTATGATTAACACAGCAGGGATGTACAATAGAAATCGATAAAAGGGGAACGTAGATGCTGTAATGGTTATCTCGCTGGACTCCCATGTAGTCGACCGCGGTTTGAGTCCCAGACCCTGAGGCTTAAAATTCAGTCAGGCGTATGTGCATGCGTGTCCAAGATCCCGAGAGGAGAATGAAGGAGATGGGACTGCAGCGTGGCCATCCTGCCTGGGGGTTATTTCTCGCTTTCTATTTCTCTGTCTCTCCTGTGAGCATATGCACCCTCTAGCAAAAAGCTCTCTAAAAAAATAAATAAAAGAAATAGATAAAAGGCCATGAGATGGCACTTCGGTAACGTACCTGGGCCCACATGGGAAAGGTCCTGGGTTCATGTCTCGGGACCTCCCTGAGCATGCCAGGCACACACATGCATGACTATGATCAGGGTGACTGACTGGGGTGGATTGTGGTGTAAAGATCTTGTTGGTAGTGCCTTGTCTCTTTTTTTCTCTCTCACATGGAAAAAAATAAACCATTAAAAGTAACTATACAGGGACCAGCAGTTAGCGTAATGGCTATGTCACTGGACTCCCATGTAGTCAACCACGGCTCGAGTCCCAGACCTGGTGGCTGAAACTCATGCTGGGTGTGTGTGTGTGTGTGTGTGTGTGTGTGTGTATGTGTGTGTGTGTGTGTGTGTGTGTGTGTGTGTGTGTGTGCGTGCCTAAGATCCTGAGAGGAGAATGAAGGATTAGGGATTGCGGCATGGCCAGCCCCCTTGGGGGGGCGATTTCTCTCTTTCTATCTCTCTGTCTCTCTCTTTCTGGCAAGTGCACATGCCCTATAGCAAAAACCTCTCAGGAAAAAAAAAAGTAGCAATAGGTGGCCCATGGTCAGTATAAATCATTCTCAGTGAATGATGCTGTCCCAGTCAGAGGCAGGAAGGCCAGCAAGGGGCCTATCCATGCTCATTGGTGCAAGGGATGTTTCTCAGACTTGATGCTTTCTGTACTTAGTTTCCCTGTATGTGAAGAGCTAGGACAAGTTCAAGTCTTGGTAAGTTCCTGAAGATTCACAGAACCTTCTAAGAGAGTTCTCAGATGGTGTCTTCTAGGATCTTCCTAAGGAATTGAACATCCTCTATCTTTTCAAGATTCCATTCACATCTCATTCCCAAATGAAGTAAGCTCCTAAATCCTGAATTCCAATTCAGGAAGAAAGAAGAGTCCACTGACTGGTCTCACCAAGTCCAAGAGCACCTCTAAGCTTAGTCCATTTTTAAAGATCTCAAAGAAAAGACTGGCCATTTGGTAACTTTTCCCTTTTTCTCTAGAACTTCTTGGTCCATGGCCTTCTCTCCCCAGTTTTTAAATTGCTTTCTTAAATTATTTGCTATATATATATATATATATATATATATGTGTGTGTGTTGTGTGTGTGTGTGTGTGTGTGAGTGTGTGTGTGTGTGTGTATATATATAGGGCAGACTTAGAAAAATTGCACTCTTGCCTCTACTCCTAGAAATGCAGTCAGTGAAAATGTGCCCATGTGTCCCCTAATAGCATGTACAGGAATGGTCAAAGCAATGTTATTTCTAATAGCCACATGCTGGAAACTAATGAAATATTCATCATTAAGAGAATGAATGAATAAAAGACAATCTATTTACTCAAAGGAGTTCTAGTCAAGAATGAGAATGAGCTATTTTAAACTTTATTTATTTATTTTAAATTGATTTATTTACATTCATTCACTGTACATCATGACAGTATAAAAAATGAAAATTTCCATCCAGAATACACTGTATATTGGCTCAATCAAGGATATTACCATACATGTTATCATCAATAAATAATTTTCCATTTCTTGTTTCTTATGTTTTGCCTTTTTTCCCTTTTTGATTCCCTACCTCTTACCCTCCGTCATTTCCCCCACCCTCCTCCCACACTGTCTCTGGTATCTACAGTTGCTTTCCATGCCTTTTCCCCCCACATTTTGTTGATTCACTAAATATCTTAATTAATCTAAATACTTTCAATAGCAAGTACAACTGATATATACGTATCTAAGTGTTCAGACATGAACAAATGTCTGAACTTTAGGCATAAATCTCAGTGAGTAAAATAAAAAAATATGGAATCCCTCATGAATTTGCATGTCATCCTCGCGCAGTGGCCATGGTAATCTCTGTACTGTTCCAATTTCAGTATATGTGCTGCCGAAGCAAGCACTCTATAACTTCATTTAACAGTATGAGTGATTCTCACAAAGACACTGTAAGGAGAGAAAACAGACAGAAAAGAGCACATGCCATTTGACTCCATTGATATCAAGTTCAAAATTAGGCAAGTCAAATCTATAATGTTGGAGATGATGGCAACTGGAAGAGTATAAGTCTTCTAGGGGACTGGTTGTGTGTTATTTTTTTTCTTCGTGTGTGTGTGTGTGTGTGTGTGTGTGTGTGTGTGTGTGTTTATTTCTTCCATGAGTGAGGACAAAGAGAGACAAAGAAACACCAACCACCAATGGGGTCTTGATGTCATGCTCCATGCCCAACTTAAGCCAGCTCCTGATCATGGGCCGGGCATGCTCAAGGAGGTCTCCAGACATAAACCCGGAACCATCCCAAGTAAGTCCATGTCCTTCTCTCCCCACTGCCCTTAACAACCATGCCACCTGCTGGCCCCATGCCTGGTGTTTTTTGTTTGTTTGTTTTTTAATGCCTGGTGTGTTTTACAAGCTGCCAGATCTGGGACTTAACCAGTCAGCCAGGAAATCTAGTCACTGTAACCTCCATGCCATCTGCTGACCTGGAGCACAGCACTTTAGCAATATGTGCCACCAAGGTTGGGCACAACATTTATTAATTTAATGCATAGATTTACTCTGGCACACTTGACTGGCCCATGGTCATGAGTTATGTAAGAGACATGAGGTTTCTTGAGGCAAGAGGAAGGTTTACATAATACCCCAGTGATGGTGTCACCTATACTTGCTTGGTTCAGTGCATTGCGGAGTACATGTCTCTGGTTGAATAAATGTACAGGTTGTAATTTATGTTCACTCCAAAGGGCTTTGTAAAAATCTGCAAAAGAATGGGAGAAAATGCATGCAAATTGCATGTGTTATTAGGATTTAGTTTCCAAAATTGTAAAGAATTCTTACAACCCAAAATGAAAAAGCAACCAATTAGAAAATGGGCAAAGGGGGTCCAGCAGTTGGCATGGTGGTTGGGGATGCTGGACTCCCACATGGCCAACTGAGGTTTGTTTTCTCACTCCCCTCTCCCCTCCACTCTGTCCCTCTCTGGTCAAATTAAAATAAATAAATAATAAAGGTAGATAAAATAATTTTAAAAAGAAATAAAATGGGCAAAGAAATGGAACAGTCATTTTACTAAAAATAGGCAAATGACCAATAAGCACATGAAAAATGTTTGACATTAGTCATTAGTCATTAGGGAAATGCAGATCAAAACCGCAGTGAGATACCACTTTCCACCCACTGGGATAGCTATCATCAGAAAAACAATGATAAGTTTATCAAGGAAAGGAGAAAATTGGAACCATCTCATGTTCCTAGTGGGAATGTAGAGGGCACAGCTGCTCTGGCAAATCTCTGGCAGTTCCTCATTTAAACACAGTTACCATATAATCCAGAAATCTCACATCAAAAATATATTCCCAAGGGAAATGAAAACATGTGTCCACACGAAAACTTGCACACAAATGTCATAGGAGTGTTATTCTATTAAGAGACAAAAAGTGAGAACAACCCAAATGCTCATCAACTGATGAATGGATAGAGAAATGTGTTATATCCATATGAGGAAATGTTATTCAGCCATGAAAAGAATGAAGTGCCAATATTTGCTATAACATGCACTTGGGTAATGTTATACATAGATTTCAAAAAAAGTCAGACACAAAAAGCCACATATTATATTATATATTATATTATTTGGGTATATAATATATTTATTATATGGGTATATACTATATTTATTATATACCCAAAATAAGAACATCTAGAAAGAAAGAAAGATTGGTGGCCGGTGGTGGTGGGGGCGGGTGGAGTTCCCCAAGTGGTCAAGGGACTGAATCCCATATGGCTGGTTGCACAGTTCAAATCCTGGCTCCAGAGGATTAAAAAACATGCACGCCCAGGTGCGTGTGCATGCATGCCCCAAATCACAATGGGATGGAGAGATGAAAGAGAAAGGATTTCAACCTGGTCACACCCGACTTTGGGGTGCTTTCTCCCTCCAACTCTCTCTGTCTCTGGCAAACACATGTGCCCTCTGGCAAAAAATTAAAAAATAAATAAATAAAAAGAAATGCATTCTTTTGTTAGCAAAGCCAGTGGAAGACTCAGAAAATGTGGCTGGAAAATTTTAGAACTAAATATTACAACAAATTACACAGTGTGGGAGGTTTCACAGTTGGGTGAAAGTACAGATGTTTCTAACAGGTTTTGGCTTGTGGTAGTTGCAAGATAATTCTTTTCATTCTGTTTCAATAATGAAATTAATTAAGATCTACTTTCTGTGAGCCACTGAAAGAAAGATATGTCAGAGAAGTCAGCCTCAATCATAAATTACTTTTTTCTTTTTAAATAGCTTTTGCTACAAGATGTGTATAGAGAGATGAGAAACAGGGGGAGAGAGAGTGAGAAAGCGAGAGAACACTCACCAGGAGGATAGCCACATCTCAATCCATAAATAACTTCTTTAAAAAATATATTTTATAGAAAACCTGGCAAAGTGTAATAATTGTTTTTTGGTTTTGTTTTAGGATTTTGCCAGAGGGCACGTGCACTCGCAAGAGAAGGACACAGACAGTGAGAGGGAACGTGAGAAATGACCCTCCGAGGGGGATGGCCACACCACAGTCCCTTCTCCATTCTCCTCTGGGGATTTTGGGCACACACACGCACACACACGCACACACACGCGCACACAAACACACACACACACCCAGTATGATTTTCAAGCTGCCAGGTCTGGGACTTGAATTGTGGTTGGCTATGTGGGAGTCCAGTGCCTTAAACACCACACCACCTGTAGGCCCCAAGTGTAATCATTGTTAAAGTGACCGAATAGAATTTTCAAATTATTTCAGTGAAAAAGTATAGGATTGCTCCACATGTGAAATCTATTTACTGAATCGTTATTAGGCAAGATATTGCAGCAAAGAAATTGAAAGAGAAATGCAGGCGTTAGCAGTATGATCAAGTGTTTTTTTTTCTTTCTTTCTGCAACTGAAAGGAAAAGAGGATTGAGACAATAGGGGATGATGGAGACTGTGGACAGCTGAAGAATGGAAGGTTGTTCAATGGGGGCAGCCACTATCCTAGAGAGAACGTAGGTAAACTCTGCCAGAGATTCAGATTTTTAAGAGAAATCCCCGGATTTTGTTTTGTTTTGTCATGTTACAGGGTGCATGCACACTGCAATCTCTTCTCCATTCTCCTGGAATTTGGGGTATGAATGCACACACTCCCAGCATATTATTGTTATTTTTTTAGAGAGTTTTTTTTGCTATAGAGCATATGTACTCACCAAAAAGAGAGAGACAGAAAGCGAGAAATCATCCCCCGGGGTGATGACCACGCCACAATCCTTTCTCCTCCATTCTCTTCTCGGGATCTTGGGCACATACACACATGTGCCTGACGTGAGATTTAAGCCGCTGGGTCTGGGACTCAAACTGCGGTTGACTACATGGGAGTCTAGTGACATAACTATTACACTATCTGCCGGTCCCCATATCTAGCATATTTAAAATGCCAGGTCTGGTATTCGAACCATGTGGTCAGCATGTGGAATCCAGCTGCCTTAACCTTCATGCCACCTGCTGGCCCCAAATCTCCTTATTTAAAAAAAAAAAAAAAAAAAAAAAAAAACCAATTTATATATCGGGGCCAGCAGGGGACGGGG